CTGCTCCCCACTCTGTCTCTGGTGAAGCCTCTTGCCACCCCTGAGCCTCTGGCCTGTACCCCAGTTCTGTATGTATAAATAAATCTTTAAAAAAAAAAATGAAGTTGGCAACCACTTACCTTTTTTCTTTTAGACACATTTAAGCCTCAATTACACAACTCATATTTACACTGAAAACATTAAGAGTATTAAAAGAACATTAAGAGTATTAAAAGAAAAGAACATGCTGTATTCGATATAAAGTCCACATATGAAATAGGTATAAAGGCAAGTGAAATCCTCCATGAGCTGAGCACAAAGTTCAAGTAAAATTCCCAGGAAGTGATTAACCCTTTTCAGACATAATAACCAAATCTTGGGGAAACATGAGTATTCAGCGAAAGTGGCCTAGACTGTTCCATGGAGTCTGTCAGGGGCCTTCAGACCTGCAGAGAGAAGCCTCAAAAAAGAAGAAAAAGGCACAGTAAGGGGCCACCAGCTTATCTCCTGGTTCAGAAATCATTGCTGGAGAACCAAAAATTTCAATTTCAAATGAGGGACTAATCAATGGGTGGCAAAGAATTCCTCTCTAACTAGTATAGTACTATCTACAAGTTAAAGAGTATGGTAATCACACCCCCAGGACATGTATATCATCAAATAGCACTGATCAGTCTTCCACATGTAAATGCCTTGCAGTTTGCTAAATCTCCACCTTCAAAAAGTATACTTCAAGTAATCTTGTCATGAGGAATGAGCATGCCTATTCTCCCCTCAGAGATTTAGTTAACAGCTACAGCAAAACCATTGGTCCATAAAGGATGATGATTCACATTTAAAGACTTTCCAAAATCAATGAAAAGAATATTCTCAATTTTTCTTACCTCTCTAACCAAATCGTATCAAAGTGTTGGGTTACAAACACTTCTCAGTGATGCTAGGGGGTGGTTTCCCTCATCAAGACAAAGGGTTAACACCCCATACAACGGTAAATGGTCTCCCACCCTGTGGCAACAGGTTTTACTGATTGTTCAAAACTAAAACAGAAACTCAGGGTTCCTGAGTTTTGGAAAGACTGCCAATTAAAGCAGATTTTCCATAGAGCCCTTTTCTAAAAGAGAAAATGGCCAAGTACTTCTCAATCTAAATTCTATTATCCAACAAGGCAAACCATTTCGTTGGTTCTCCAATGAAGAAATGCTAAGCTTTCCTCATTTATCTGACTCTAATAAATTAATGAAAGTCCTCATTCCTGTAGACTCCTAGGATTTAAACTCCCCTATTGAGAGAATCAATTGTCAATGGCTTTGCAAAGTGCCTTCTCTGTGTTCAGAGAAGTTTGTTTTTACGTTTCTATTCTACATCAGGAATGCCACAGACCTATCCTCTCTCTTGGAAGGACTGAGTTATAGGGGAAACACAATGAAACACCGACAATCAAAAGTATTTTTAATAGCCAGATCATCAGTTTAAAGGGAATGGGATGTGTTTAAGAAATACAGGTGATTATCAGCAAATTCTCTATTTACAGAGAAGCTTCCTCTTTTAATTAAGGAGCTGAATAGATCTCTACAACCCTTGCCAGCTCCAACATTCATTGGGACTTGAGAGTTCCCAAACTCAGCAAGCAGAGAATACATTGTTAGTAACAGGTGTAACCTGTAACACATATGGAAAAGAAAAAACACAATTTGTTATACAAAGAAAAAAAAAAGTTAAACCTCTCCAAATAAATTCAGAAACAGGAAAACCAGTGAATTCAGGGCAAGATGACAACTGGATAAGGTTTCTCTGCGATGTATAACTTGAGTCAAACCCTTCAAAATGTGAAGGATGTGGATACACAGAAGAGGTGACAGCATCTTTCAGATGAAAATAAAGGCATGAATACACTGAGCAAAGGAAAAGCATAAATGTAGGATTGGTTTTGCTTCCCAAATAGCCTGCGCTATTATCCTACAGCACATTCACGATAATAGGCTAAACTGACAATTTAATTTCTTAAGACCTTAAAGGTCTTTCATTGCTAAAAGAGCTGATTTACTATTTTGGATAAAAGCAGCCTTTTCCTACATGTCCAAATATATCTTTTTTTTTTTTAAAGATTTATTTATTTGTGCATACAGAACTGGCCAGAGGCTCGGGGGTGCTGAGAGGCTTCACCAGAGACAGAGTGGGGAGCAGAACAGGCAGATCAACGAAGTACACTGCTGAGGGGAGCAGTGGGCGGGTCAGGAGAGGTCTGCCGCGCCATGTGGTCACCTCCGGGACAGGCGGGGATCGAACTCATGCGGAAGTGGCTTTAGCTTTTCAGTGCTGTGCTTTAACCCGCTGCGCCACCAGGGAGGGCCCTCAAATATATCTTAATGTGCATGCCATTACTGAAATGTAATGGCTTATGTGTTTTTGGTTTTTATCAAGTAACACTGCTTGGCAACTGGATATGATCCAGGGGAATAGGTTCACCCCTCCCCTGATGCACATACCCCACTGACCACCAACACACCCATATCCCTTTGTCATATACCACTGGGTCCCCTCTCTTAGTTTCCCCCTTTCCCCCCCTCTTCTAGCTCAATTCTGTAGTCACATCTCTAAGCTTTCTTTGGTTAGATTTGTTAGCTCCTGTGTTTTGTTTCTCTGTATTCCACAAATCAGTGAATCATCCCATATTTGTCTTTCTCTCTCTGGCTTATTTCACTTAGCATAACCCCTCCAGTTCTAGTCAAGTTGGTGCAAATGGCAAGAGATTGCCTTTTGTATAATGAAGCATTATTCTTAATGTATATGAACCCCATCTTCTTAATCCAAGGTTGTTTCCATAACTTCACCATTTTAAAAGCGCTGCAATGAACACAGGAGTGCATCTTTCTTTCAAATTAATGCTTTTGCATTTTCTAGATGAATGCCAAAGAGTAGAACTGCTGGATCCTATGGTTGATCTACTTTTGATCCTTCGAGTAACCTCTACACTGGTTTTCGCAGGGGCTGGCCAGTGTACATTCCCACCAGTTGTGTGCAAGGATTCCCTTCTCTCCACGTCCTTGTCAACACTTGTTGTTTCCCTTTATTTTATTTTTTTAAGCATGGACCATTCTCACAGGAGTGAGATGGTATCTCAAAGTGGTTTGGATTTCCCACCTACTACCATCTTTTCATGTGCCTCTTGGCCATCTGTGTGTCTTTTGGGGAAAGTGTCTATTTAGCTCTTCTGCTCTTGTCTGGCTTAGAATTGGTTAGCTCAATGTGTTATCATATTATCTTAAATGTTAGCTACATATCCTCCTCCTCCTACCAAACCAACAGCATTTTGATATTCTTTATTGAACATCCTGAAAAATAGCATAGCAAAAGAAAGAACATGGGCACATCTGTAGTTGATATCAATCTTCCTTTATAAATAATTATATTAACATACATCAAGGAACCTCTAAATTTTAGAGTGCACGGTTCAATTTCAAAATATACATATTTTTATTCTTTGTGTCTTTTTACATCATTCTCTATTTTGCATACTTTTCATCTCATGGACTTCCCACCACCAATTCACCCATGTGCCATCACCATAGTGTGCTCTTCACACCACAGGTTTGATCCTAGAAAATATACATTTTTCACTTTAACACTGCATTTGGCATTTAGAAAAAGAAATAAAATCATGTAAGACTGTTTTAATTATCATTATGAAGAATTATGACAAAAATATTTGAATCAATGCAACTTCTACTCTTGAGCTCATTAAACACTTATCACTCATGTAAATGGAGAAGTTTTCATTTCATTGATAAAGTTTGTTTCTGTGTTGAAAGAAACTGTCATTTCTCTCAAACCAATTGTCTTAAAAATACGCACTTACCCTGCATTGTTGCTGACTGCAGTTAGCCCTTTTACTCCAGTCTTCAGTAAAGCTCCTATAAGATTTTCTGGAATGCCACATAGCCCAAAACCTGAAAAAAATCCAAAAAGATAAACAACTTGTGAAGAGAGTAATGTTCTTGTAGTGAAATATGTGTGGTAGTCCTTCAAAAAATAAGAAAAAAATGTAAAATGCATGACTAGATCAACTATGTATAATACACAGACCTCTCAGAAGCTTATGTGTCTATATTCAAATTTTTGTATCATTACAGCACCAGACAACATTACAAATCCTTGATTCATAAGTATAAAGCCAAGTGCAACCAGTTAACATGGTGAACATTGCTCTTCTTGCAACTAACTACATACCTATGTTATAATTCAACCCTCGATATTTGCTTTTTATTGTTTTTATGCACTTTTAGAATTGAAAGCTTAGGCAAATGACCTTTGTTTCTTTACATGTCAGAAAATTCCTCATAGTATTAATTCAAAATCGTTTAAAGGGGGTCTCCCTGGTAGGCTAGGGGTTAAGTTGCTAAGGCCTGAGATAGATCCCCAGTCAGGGAGCAGACCCACATGGCACAATAGACACCTCTCCTATCTCACCTGATCCTCCTCTTAGCTGTGTATTTCAGTAGCTGCACCTGCTCTGCTCCCCATTCTGTCTCTGGGGAGTCTACTTACCCCCCCCCATAGCACCTCTGGCCTACACCCCAGTTCTTCTACACACAAAAATATTTTTTAAAAAGTAAACTAAAATCATTCAATGACAATGATAAAGAGCCCAAAAATTAGACATGATTCCTATGACCAAAGCCTAGAAAAATCAAAAATAAATTTATAAGACTCAAACAGCAAGTTTAATAAATATGTGATGATAAAAGATATTCCAAACAAGACGAAGCAGTGGAACACAGGGTGGCTCAAGAGTAGACAAGGCTTGTAGGCCTCCTTGTTCATAAAATGAACAAAAGATGCTGCCAGGTGTGGGCACATGAGATCAATGCGAAGGTCCAGAGTTAGACGTAATTCCCAAGAATCTAGGGATTTTTCACTACTACTCCTAAGCCATCACATTTATAGTTTCAGCTAGTCCAAAGAACAGGAAAGCACAAAAGGAAGGGACACATAAAATACTTGCAGGAAGAGGACACTGTAGTAAGATGGTTAAGAGGAAATATAATAAAAACAGTGAACACATATAATTAAGTAATAAAATAAATGGCACTTTGAATCTCTATAGCTTTGCCATGAGGAGTGCCTTATTTTGCTAAAAACACAGGAATGCTACCAAAAAGAGGAAAATAAAACTAGTACTCACCTCCAACAAGTATTGTTGCACCGTCAGGGATATCTTTCACAGCCTCCACGGGGTTTGTATAAAATTTGGTATGGCGATGTGTGCTGGTAGAAAAGTAGCAAGTACATCCCTGCAACATTAAAAAAAAAACACTTTGAAATGAATAATCATGCGACAAGACACCTTCACTTTGCACTTACAGCACTTGACTCAATTTTCATGCATACAAAAATAATTTAGCTATCTCCTATTGAGAGAAAGAGAAGGGCTGTAATCAGTTCATCTCTTTTTTTTGATAATTACTTACTTATGCATACAGAACTGGGGTGCTGGCCAGAGGTGCGAAGGTAGTGAGAAGCTTCACCAGAGACAGAGTGTAAGTTCATCTCAATACAAACACTATCCACAGATTATCTTTATGATCAGTGTTTACTATTATCTAAGGGAAAATTCTGTGTCACGTACAACCATTCAAAAGAGGTGGCCAGAGTGGTGTCATTAAGCATCAGTTTCTGAAAGAAGCCTAACCTTTCATTTAATTGACAAATATTTTTTGAGAACCTGCTCTGTGCTGAGTCTATGCTACTTATTTACCAGTATCATGAGGATTTAGACATGACCGCTGGGCTCAAAGTCTATTAAGTACAGTGAGCACTACATAGTTGGGCCTGGATTCAATCTTGAGTGTTGGAGAAACCTAAAGGCCCACAACAGCACACAAATAGACACACGCCACCCACCCCCCACCAAGGTTGGAAGTTTACGGTGCAGGAAAAAAGTAGCAAGCTGTTTTCTATAAGGAGGCAAGGCTAGAATTATCACAACGTGTACTATCTGGTGTAAAGCAGGTTGTCTAGTGACCATTTATAATCAGTTTTGAGCTGTTTCCCTCTTTATACTTCACTCACAAGATGAACAGAAGAAAATTAGAAAGGTGACTGACTTGCAATCACTCATTTGTGCCCAACATCATCACCTCTCCTCAGTCTCAAAAATATACTCAGCCTAAAAGGAGTGTAAATCAGGAGATGGACACCTGACTCAGGACATGTCGCTTTCACAAGCCCTCCGTGCTAAGCTCACATCCATGGTGTGTCAGCCTGGAGAAGGTATCAGGGAATTAGCATAGAAGAATTTCTATCACTCTTTTCTTCCTCTAAAAAAATGTCTATTAAAAGTGCTAATTAGTACAAAAGGCTATTAAGAGTACTACACTGAAAGTCAAATGGGATCCATAAAGGTAGAGGTTACATAAATGACTTTTGTCCCTTTAAACATCAACCTTGGTCAAGGTCATGTGAGGAGAGAGGTATACCTTGGCACTGGGCCGCATGAAGGAGAAAGAAGTGGAGTTAAAAATAGACAGGGAGTGCATTACAAAGAGCTTTCTTTTCTGTTCTATCCTCAAATAGCAAGGATTTATTTGATTGTTTTGTACATATACATAAACACACAAACAGATTTTTAACATCAGCAATTAAATATTTAGCAGGTGAATAAATAAAGTTGAAGATATCACCTAGAAAACAGAAAGGAAAAATACACAACTATCTAATCTAACATGCTTACTTTACCAGTCAAGTTACTGAAACCTAGTAACATCTTTTTCTTTAGCCACTAGTGGGTATTTAAGCAAAACTTGATGCCAGGTTTTAGCCTTCTATCCCAAGGCATGACCCTCTCCATGTTTTTAAAAATCCTCAATCTTACTCTTCTATTTTATTATTTGTGGATAACAAATCTCAATGAGTGTCCAATTATTTTCACAAATAATACTGCTGTCATTATCTCTGTTTAAGGATGAAGGTAAGTTATTATGCTCTATACCTTAAGTTCATACAGTGTTATAGAAATAACACAATGACACTGAAAAAAAATAAAAGATACAAAATAATGAAATAAATCCAAATTTTATCTCTTACCCTCACACCCTCCCCCCAAAAAGGAGGAGCTATGGCTAAGAGGGGGACTTAGCAGGAAGAGAAAGAAAATTAATATATTGGTCTATACGGAAGTAGTTTGGAAGAGCGAGGATACCCTGAATTATTTATCCACAGACTGAGAAACATGAAGCCTATGGAGAGGAAGTCAAAAGAAAGCTCATATCACCTACAAACCCAAAAAGACTCTAGATTCACAAGAAAAAGCATGTAGGTGCAAACTTAGAGGAATTTCATTCGTTTAACTGACAGCGTCTTCATTATTACTGAGAAGGTTGGTTGCCCCACATCCCAAAAACATATCTCAGAAATATTTTAGAAAAGACTCAGTTGTTTCATATTTATCCAGAAAACCAAAAATTAGAAGCAATAAAAATGACAGAAGTTTCTAGGGGGGCATGAGAAGAGCTCAAGGTAATGAAGAATTTACAAGCATTCAACTTCTGCCCTTCGTTTTTTCACACACAGTTAACAATAGCTGTTGACATTTGTCATATCAACATTTGCTATCTATTTACTGAGAAAACAAGTGTGGCATAATGGGTCACACTCCAGTGCTCTTAGTGTCAAGTTACCTTCTTTCAAATGCCAGTTTAGTCACAATTAAGTCAACCCAAGAAAATCACTTCCCTTTTGTGAAGGATGGGGAGATTCACTTTGTGCTTACAAAAAGGATGATAATGATTTTCTAAGGATTAAATAAAGAAGGTGGGAGAAGCACTTCGCCCTGGGCTTGGGCCACAGAAACTCCTCAAGGGCATGTTGCCTCCCCTAGGGGCAGTAGATGAAATTTTCATTGACTGGGATTTAGTTTTCTTTCTTTTTTAAGATTTTATTTATTTTGCATAGAAGAATTGGGGCACAGGGCAGAGGTATGAGTGAGACAATTCACCAGAGGCAGAATGGGGAGCCAGATGGAGCCACTGAAATACACTGCTGAGGGGAGCAACGGACAGAAAAAAGTCGGCTATGCCATGTGTGTCAGCTCCCTGGCCAGAGAATCAAGGTGGTAGCGCTGAGACTTAACCCCTAGGCCAACAGGAGTTCCCTTTAGTTGTCATTTTTAACTCTAGCCTTACACATAGGCACACACAGATTCTGACAGGGGACTAAGAGAAAGAAAGGCACTGTAACTAGTTCAGGAATCTGCACACACACAGAGCACAGGCTATATGCACAGATAGGACTAATGATCAGTTTTCTTTAAGTTAAAACTCTTGCTTTGAACTGATGCCCAATGATGCCTGCCCCAATGATGCCTGAATGATTGCCTGACATTGAAGGCACAGGATATACAGGGTCAAGATAAGCAGGAGGCTGATGGCAAGTTCTGGGATACTGTCACATCAAATGTGACAGCTATTCTGGTGGGCTGTTTGCTTATGACTGTTTTCATCTAACCCATTATGAAAAGGTCAGCTCCAGGTGAGAAGGCAGAATAGTCTCTCTGGGGTGCTATGCCCACTGTTTTCACAGATCAATGGCCAGCATCTGAAAAATAAGTGATTTTTGATTCAAATCCTGTCTCGGCTAATTGGCTTTTGGTAGTGACAGGCAGCAGAACCCAGCCCCATTCCAGTAACAAGCTGATAAAGATTTTTTTTTAAGATGGCCCATCCTGAAGCAAACTAATCCATGTGACCTTTGTTAAGGGTTTTGAAAGCATTGGATGCTGGCTTTAATCGTGGTTTACCAAGTTTACTTCATTTGCAATCAAGTTTGCCAACCTAAGTATTCAAAGATCCTTGGCAATGCAGCAGTGTGAATGCAGACAGTGGGGCAAAGAGGAAACAGGATGTCTGAAATCAGTTCATCAGAATACTTACTGTAAATATGCAAGGCCTAAAGTCCAGAGAGAAGATTAGAGTTGAACACAGTACCCCGGGGGGGGGGGGCAGTCACTGGGTTTATCCTATGCAGGGGCTTCCTCCCAGCCACGCTTTATGAGACTGAGGCAGGGCAAAGGCGGACAGTGCGTCTCTAATAACACCTTAGATAACTGAATCCCAAGAGGAGTTCTAAACTGCTCATCAATTAACCTTTACCTTTTAATATCTTTTAAATACTGGCAGTGATGTGACAAACCCAAGCACCATCTGTTACAAAAATTGAATGTGCGGCCCTCCCTGGTGGCACAGCGGGTTAAAGCACAGCACTGAGAAGCTAAAGCCACTTCTGCATGAGTTCGATTCCCACCTGCCCCGGAGGTGACCACATGGTGTGGCAGACCTCTCCTGACCCGCCCACTGCTCCCCTCAGCAGTGTATTTCGTCAATCTGCCTGTTCTGCTCCCCACTCTGTCTCTGGTGAAGTCTTTTGCCACCCCTGAGTCTCTGGCCTGTACCCCAGTTCTGTATGCACAAATAAATAAATCTTTAAAAAAAATTGAATGTGCAAATTATTTGCAAACATTACCTAAAGGAAAGGAGAGTGATAAACTGTACAACTGTGTACAGTTCTGGGGATAATTTTTGTTCCATCAAGGTCTTCCTTTACATTCATGCAATGCATTTCCTTTTGTTTTCCAGTCTCTTACACCTTCTGCAAATATCCTTTTATTGTTATCACTAATTTCTGTTATCATTAATTATAACTGTTGAGGGAAGGAGGAAATAATGGGAACCCTAGTGTACTGATGGTGGGAATGTGGACTGCTCCAGCCTCTGTTGCAAGCAATATGGCAGTTTCTCAAAATATTAAATATAGCTCTACCACATAAATTAGTAATTCTAAGACAAGGTATCTACCAAATACAAAATCATTAATTTAATGGCATATATGCACTCATCTATTCATTGCAGCGCTATGTACAACAGCCAAGTTATGGAAACAATCTAAGTGCCCAATGAGCAATAGGTTTAAAAGACGTACACATATGCACAACGGATACATTCAACTATTTTTTTTAAAGATGAAATTTTGCCATTTGCAACAACATGAATGAACCTGGAGTGGATTATGCTAAATGAAATAAGTCAGAAAGAGAAAGACAAATATTGGATGATTTCACTCACATGTGGAATGTAGAGAAAAAAACAAAGGAACTGACAGAACTAACCAAAACAGACTCTAGAAATCTGACTACAAAATTGAGGCTAGTACAGAGGACGAAAGGGGAGAAGGGAAGAAGGAAGAAGGGGCCCAATGGTCGATGGTGGACTATGGGTGCTTTAATGGTGGGGTCAGTATGATGAGGTACCTCTAGGAAGTGTGTACTTAATCTCCCTAATCATATAGGGTTATAAATCAATGTTACCACAATAAAGAGGTAAAAACTGAGATGGAAAAGCCATATGGAGAATGGTAAAGAGAACTGTTTCACAGGATGATACTATGCAGATGGAAACACAGACAGACTGCAAGGGAGAGTTAGACATCACCACCAAGAGGTGATGGGATGTGCTGAAACATTTTAGCACTTCAGCACTGGACCAATGCTTATCAAATGTGGATTGTTCACCTTGAGTGAACACTACCACCTACACACCCCTGATATGAATATATCACAATGAGATCACAGATAATTACTGATATCAGACAATTCTCTATAATAGGGCACATTTTATGTTTCAAACGAAGGCACATAGACTCTTCTAGCACTGGAAGATGCCATAAAGGATCACAGATGAAGAGGCCACATAGTCTGCCTAGTGGATCAGAAAACTTAAAGAGTTAAACGACCAATGAAGAGAGATGTGAAAAGGCAGAAGGAAGTCCCACAGAGAGAAGTTTGTGAAGGTCAGTTGGTAAGGGAGAATGGGCAGGATGTAAAAGGCTTGAAAGACCACAGGAAAAAGTTTCAACTACATCTTTTAATGGGGAAGGGCCAGCAAAACTTTTGAAACAGGGAAATGTCACAACTCACACAAAAACCTGAGTCCGGAAAGTGGAAAGTGAACTCATTCATTCCTTCCTCCCTTTGTTCAAAAATATTTACTTTATATCAAATAAGCCCTGGGGATATATAATTAAAACAAGACACCACACAGGCAGAGTCTCTGCTTTGATAAAACTCCAAACTAGCAAGAATATGTCACAAAATTAGTACACAGACATCTGTGACCAAGGAGGCAGGTGAGGTACTAATGGTAGTTTCATAATGACTTTTCAATAACAGTTTTTTTATAACAACGAAAAACAGACATAAATGTTCCCTCTGCAATAGTAATGGAAGAAGGAAGACCTAAGTCTACCAGGGGATCTGAAAGTGCTAGCTTCAGACCAGCTACATCAACTTCACAGGAACCCATGAATGCAGATTACAAGCCTCCCTCCACCTATTAAATCAGTAACTTTAGTGTGTTGACATTGTAACTTATTTAATAAAACCTCCAGGGATGGCCCTCCCTGGTGGCACAGCTGGTTAAAGCACAGCACTAAGAAGCTTAAGCCACTTCCGCATGAGTTCGATCCCTCCTGCCCCTGCCCCCCTGCCCAGGAGGAGATCCACATGGCATGGCAGACCTCTCCTGACCAGTCCGCTGCTCCCCTCAGCAGTGTACTTCGTTGATCTGCCTGTTCTGCTCCCCACTCTGTCTCTGGTGACTCCTCTCACCCTCCAGGTCTCTGGCCTGTACCCCAGTTCTGTATAAATAAATAAATAAATCTTTAAAAAAAAAATCTCCAGGGAATTCTGATGAACATGCAAGTTTAAGAGACTTGCTATAATTTAAAAAAAAAAAAATCCTGTATCATGTCACCTTTATGTTTAGCAGAAAAAGTCTCAATACTACTTAAGTTCCTACACAGTTTCAGAGTGTCTGTTTCATGCAGGGGAGGGTACTGTGTAAGGATGAGTGAGAAGTGGAATAGGCAGGCACACAATATCCCTGCCACCTAGAAAAGTCCACCTGCTTAAGATGACAATGTGTGCATTTGAAACCGAAATAAGTACACAAGTGATACAGCTTAACAGTAGTAGAAAGGAGGAAAGGAGTTAAATAAAAGGAGTTAAATAAACGGTAACAGTAAGGTTACTAAGCGCTGGCGGAACACTGGAGAGCAGGAGACATATGACATATGATAACCAAACCTGAAAGGCAAGTTTGAGTTTTGATAGGCACTTTCAGTGAGAGCCAGCAAAAACCAATTTTTAGTGTACACAGCTAGAAGAGGTTTCTTGAATTTCCAAAAGTGCTTTAATGATACACGAAGGTGAGAAAATAAGTAAATTACATTTAAGCAAATGAGTAAATGGACTACAGAGAGAATGTTATTGACCTTGACCCAGGCTGGCCCAAGGGCATTGTTCTGTCCTCACTTGCATTCATTTCGGCACTAGTAGCAATTTGAGTAGATCAAGGACGGTCAGGTTCCTTTTTAATAACGCTTTATACAATTGAAGCTATCTGCAATTATCAACTGATATTGATGCTTACAAGAAGCATCAATAAATAAAACCGTTTCCGATCTAAACGGTTCCCTAGTACTTAGCAAAGGGCGCTTTCACGGCTCTCAAGATCTCAACAGAGTAAGACAGCAGAGCCAGGGGCGAGGCATTTCTGAGCACCCACACTGGGCAAGGCACAGACTACATTCAACGTGCTACCAAGTCAACTCAGCACCGATCTTTTCCCCTCCAAGGAAAGGGCTCTTCGTGTTAGGGGACCTGACGCTCGGAATCAGTACTGGTACTCGAGACAGGAACCCTACCCGGACGTGGGTTTACGGACCGAGACAGCGGACGGGGCCAGAAAACACATCAACCAAGAATCGCGGCGAGCGTGTCTGTCTCCTGGAAGTGTTGGCAGTTGAGGCGGAATCAGGTTCTCTTAGTTTTAAAACGGAAATTCTCATCCGAGGGGCCTCGGGGAGGGACGCCGGCGCCGGAAGCCCCCAAGTCAGTTCCACCCGATCGTCAGGCTTCTCCCCAGGGCGCGGAAGGCGCCGGGGTGAGCGGTCCACGCCGAGTTATCCCCGCCGCCGGCCGGGTGCAGCACAACCATCCGGGGAGGAGGGGCGCGGGATTCCACCCCGCCGCGCCCAACATCCGCCCCGGCCGGGAGCTCGCGCTGAGCCACGGTTAACCCAATGGGGACGCTGGGCCTGAGAAGCCCGTCCAAAGATCCCCCAGGCGGGGGGCAAGCCCACCCGTAAGGCCGTCACCCGAGCCTCCCGACACTGGCGCGCCGTCCCCGCCGCGTTCCAGCAAGTCCGAGCCCCTCCCTGGAGGGCGCCCGGGACCCGGGTGAGCGAAGCCCTTAGGGTGCAGCGTGGCCACCGGGCGTCCTCCCGCCGCTTTTCAGCCTCTCCGCCCGCGAGTGTCTCTGCCTCGTCTCGCCCCTCGAGGAAGCGGATGCAGAACAAAGCGCGGGCGGCACCCGCGGGAGCCGCGGGCAGAGGAGAGCACCAGCGCGTTGGGGCCACGGATGCCAGTTCCCAGGCTGCAGCAGCTGGTGCGGGCAGCGGAGGAAAAGCCGCTACCCCGCGGGCTCTTCCAGCGCGCAGCCATCCTCTTCACGCGCACTTTACCTTGAACCAGGGACCCCCGGAGCCGCGGGTGGGGACGCACAGCCGCTGCCAGGAAGATAGGGCTTTGAGAGCCGCCATGTTCGGGCCGGCGGCGGGCTGGAGGGCGCGCGGGAGAGTGGCGGTTGGTGCTGCCGAGGCTGCAACCGCGACGCTGGAAAGGCAGGCAGGCAGGGAGGGAGGCGCGCGGGGGGCGGGCTGGAGGCTCGACCGGGCGTCGGTGACGTCCTTGGGGCCTCCCCCGCTGCGCGCGGATGCTTAGACTTTGGCAGGAAGCCGACAAGGAGGCCGGGGGGCGGCCTGGAAGCGCTGGGAAGCCCCGCGCAGAGTGGCCCCTCTGAGGCCCGCGGGTTGGCGTGCACTCGCACGCCAGACCCCTTGGGCAGCTTGTAGCGTTTTAACTTGGAGGGGAGCAAGAGTCTGCCTGCCCCAACGTCTGGGATGAGTCAAGGCCTAACGTTCAGGGAGCTTGTTGTTACTTTGTCCTGGCAGAGTGCTGGCTGCAAGTATGTACTCCCTGGGACCCCCTATACCCCCTGCCCACACTCAACCACCCCCACCCAGCCAACCACACACACACACACACACACACAGGGCGGTCCTTGGTCTTCCTTTTCTCAGCGCCCTTTCTCCACTCCCCAACCCGTGTTCTGTAGAATGTGGACTAAAAATAAATTGAGGCAAGCAAAGTTAAATGTGTTTATTTAAGAATCAAGAGTGAGGACTTGGGCCAGGGAGAAGCACAGGGAAAGCTACCCAAATTCTGAGCTTTTCAATGAGCTCTGTATAATTATGTCAAGGATTTTTGTAAAGACAGAAAATTTGGGTAGGGTATCCAGTTGATGTATTGACTTAATGTTATCTATGCATTGAGGATAACAAAAAGGAATGTGAAAATTTACTTTACTATTCAGAGCTTTATACTCTGAAAACTGGGAGTATTAACCCTGCCTGTCTTTTTTTTTTTTTTTAAAGGTACTGATTTGTTTGAAATCTTCAAGTCCTGCAGTCTATTTACAGGACCAAGCCTGACGCTTGGTTTGTGCCCTTAGTTGAGGCAGGGAGGGGATTTGCCCTCTTAATTGTTGGTGAACCTCAGTCATTTTACCTTGAGAACCTGCCTTAAACCATCTGCCATGAGATGTTACCAGTCTGACCTGGTCACGTTTGTCCCTGTTCAAGAGGTCTTAAACACACCTTTTTCCCATGTCCAAGCCTGCATCTTACAGGAAGCTTCTGGCAGTGGACTCAAGAAACTATAGTGATTAGCGAGCGGATGGGAACTTACAGGTCTGTGGTCCTTTGACTGACCTTAAGCAAATTACATGACTTTCTTCAGCCTAAATGTACTTCACTACAAAATGAAGATTGCACATAATACCAGAACTAACACGATTTACATGAGATTTCTGCCAACCTTCTGTTCCCATATGAACAACCAATGAATTTTTGGCATTACAAGTGTATTAAAGTTGCAGCAGTAAATTGGTATGGCACAATCATTCTCTTGAAGCTTTATCTTTTTTGACAACTCCTTAGGGACATGAGCCAAGCCCAATTTCATCATAACTAGCTATGCACTTATCAGAATGGAAGGACCAAGTGAAAACTCATTGACATTTTATTTGGCTAAGGGTTGAACAAAGCGTGGGAATAGGGCTGTTCATTTTGAACCAAAGCAAAGCTAACAAGAACATTAAATAAGATCTTAGCTTTTCTACATGTACCCTAAGGTACTTGTTAAAATCAATAAGGGAACAATACCAAGTTACTATTCAGTTACATAAGGAAACATTAACTTAGTAAGGCTCTGTAATTTCTATACTTTAGGAAGGTGGGTAGAAGGGGAAATTTGGTATTAGAACTAAATAAAGTTTCATTACTTGTCCCATTTCAGTACTTAGCAGCTGCTGTTACAGAATGTGAAAAAGCTAACATTCACACATGAGCCTGCTTTTTCCACTTTTGCCCTTCCAGAGGACACATGAAATGGAAACAGCCTTGGAAACTCTAACTCTGGTCATCTGACTTCCCTCTGGCCTCACTCCTTTGCTCCTGGAAGAGGGAAAGACACACGTTTTAGGCCTCTTCTCTCTGTGACTCCAAATCCTGTGAAGAAATCAGTCTCATTAGTCTATGGTCAAAACACACTGCTATATTTTTTATGAAACTGTAACTTTGTCTTATACTAAAATAAAGGAGTACCTTGAACAATTTATAGAAAAGTTATTTTATAGAGATAACAACCCTTTTACAATTTTAACTGTAATTTACGGGAAAACCTACTTTTTAAAAAATCTGCCTTTTTCTGAACAAGTTAGAATAGTTTCCCTTGTTCTCGAAGGGCAGTTTGTATTAAGCATTTCTGAAATTTTGTACAGCTTTACTCCCACATTCTTAAAGATTGAAAGAATTGAATTGAAAGTGTTTAAATAAAAGTCTGATTCCAAATAATGAGGAAAGTTTATTTTGCATTATGTTGTGTATATACATCTGTAATATCCCCTGTTTATCAAATAACTGCAAAGTATCAGAATTAACTTACAAATTTTCATTCTCTGCTTGAGGGATTTTTATTTAAATCTCCCAAATATAATGTGGTAGTGTGATCTTTCATTCAACCTTAGGCTATCCTGCCTCTGTTGGCAGACTGTTTCTCCAGGTTGATAATCAGGGGCTTTCAAGTCTGGCTTTTCAAATGTTGTTTGACTGGTTTAACTTGTAATAGGAGTTTTTAACTAGGTCATTTATGTCAATTTTTTAAAATGTATGCATGATTCATTTTTCACAATAGTCTAATACATGAAAAAAAAAAACCCTTCAATTAATTTTCCTCCATTGGATTTCAAGGACATGATCTTGACCAGTTGCATAAATCTGTATTGTTTCGATGTGTAAAATCATCACCTCCCCCAATTACCTGCTTTGTAAGCTCACTATTTTTATATATTCTTTAAAGCAGATCATTGTGCTAATGTAAACATGTGTTAATGTATACATGTTTGCTCAGTGGATTAGAACAAGCATGTGTAGGATTAGAAAAAAAAACTGGAATGGAATTTTACATAAAATGTAGTTTTCTCAGAAACAAAATAAAATAAATTACATGACATGAATAGAAAAGGTTCAAATCCTGGAGTGAAAATGAAAATTGTATTAAGGTACTAAGGAAATTTGAAGGAGCAAAACACACCAAAGTGAGCTTGGAGACTTTTCCAATAAGTTACTTATACTTACAACCTCTCAATGGTTCTTCCCACTGCTGGAAAAGTCCATGCTTCTTAAGTTAGCATGGGGAGAGGGGTGTGTTTCTTCTAGTTTTCCTCTACCCAACACATCTCCAAACTATATTTGCCTCTTGACTCACACCATGAATTGACATAACCTCACACTCAAATGCTGATAAAGAGAATTGACCCTGTAGCCAGGCTGCCTTGGTTCAAGTTTCAGTTCACCTTTTCCCAAGCTACGTGCTGAACTGCAAGCAAGGTCAAGTGTAGACAAATGTCTGTCTGGACTAGTAGGGAGTTAAAAGACACCTGTGAGCTTCTCAGATTAGTTTTATTTTCATAAACTGAAAAGCATCAGATAGGATCCAAACCCTAAACTATATGTTATGAAAGACTTCTTTTATCTTTACAACTTCCTCTTTATCAGGTGTATGAACTTGACAGGACTTCAGATTCAGTTCCTCTCACTTGAATTCCTTTCTCCTCCAACGTGAAACACTTTCAAAGACATCCCTTCAGATATAATAGATTTGGTCTTCTCATATGCTTTGCTAAACCTTTCTAAGAAATCCTTTTAAGCTACAAATTAAAGTCCAACATCTGAGCATAGTCAAGATTTCTAATCTAGACTCAGCGTGTACTTAAAGATTCTCCATAAGTACTTCAGGACCCCACAAATATTATCTTTTGAAAGGAAATTTTAAATTCTATTTGAATTATCCTACCAACTTTATCAAAGCAGTAGCATGTACACTCGATTATAATTTGGTCCTGATTTTAGTATATTGAATAACGATCAATCACTATAACTATATTCTACAACTGGAAAAAGTTGTACAATTAGGATAAAGTTTCCTAATTATAAATTAAGATTTACTCATGAGAAGTTGTTTTCAATTTAAATTATTTCCTATGTATCTATTTCATGAATATGAGGATAATGTAACTTTTGGTACTTCTTCTAAATGACTGGTAATCAGAAAATAAATTTGTCTTAATTCTAAACTTGTCTAAGACAATCACTTTTAATCAAAACGTGGCATTTGAAACCATGAGTGTGAGGTCCATTAAACAAGGCAGAAGAAACTGAGATATAAAAGAGAGCTACAGACAAAATGGGAGGCAATTTTTCGCTGTGATAGAAATTGTAGTGAACCTTCTTCAGCTTCCTACTTCACAACCCAAGCACATTCCCTCTGGCGCTGGGAGTGCTTAATACCTACTAATGACTCACAACAATATCACTTGCCTGAAATTGTCCTTCACCCCAGGAAAAAGCCTCGCCCTACAGTGAACCCATTTTCTAGGGAAACTCCTTATCCAACAAGCCATTAATGTAGATATACAAAGAAATAGCCCCTTAGGCTCAATTTGTGACATCTCTTAAGGGTCACCCTAACTTTTGAGCTCCTTGGAGAATCAGCTGAGAAAAAATTTTACCAAGGGCTTTTCTAGATCAAAAATCTGGTACAGGGCGAGACCACACAAGGACCTGTGAGATGCAATCAAAGATTGAATCCTGATTTGCTAGCAGAAGTCAGTGAGAGGAATAGGGTATGGTCAGGAGACTTGATTTGGAACAGAGGAACGGAATATTAATATTCAAGTGTGCACTGACACAAATAGATGGAATTTTTTAAGAGCTTGCGCCAAGACTAACATTGGGGCAAAAGTCCCAGGGCATATTGTGGGATAAGATGGGAAGAAAGTGATGACGAAAAGAATCTTGGCAGAAGATTTCAGAATAGCAAGGAGGAGAGAGCATGAAAGCAGCCTGGATATTGTAAACTTTCCCTGAAGACCAGAGAACTCACAAATATGGATGTGGGCATAAGTTTTTTTGAGCCAGGAAAAGTAAACTGCATTTTCCAGAGCAGTTAATTATTAGAGCCAATAAAAGCAAAAGGAGAGGACTTTCTGAATCAACTATA